GCCGTCCTCCCTGCCCTGCCCTCCTCCTCCAGCACCGTGAGGCCCACCTTCCCCGGTACGGTGGTGCCCCACCGGGACCTGTCATCCTCAGGGCCTCTTCATTTGGTACCGTGTGCCCCTCCCCAGGCTGCTCCCCCTTCCCCGGTGCTGTGGGGCTCCCCCCCGGGGCCTGTTCCCACCTCCCTCAGTGCCGTGGGGTGCCCCTGCCCCCATTCTGGGACCGTGGGGTGCCCCGGGGCCTGTTCCCCCTTTCTGTGCCTCACCCGCGTTCTCACCCTGCAGGTGGAGGATGCGCTTTCCTACCTGGACCAGGTGAAGATCCGCTTTGGCAGCGACCCTGCCACCTACAACGGCTTCCTGGAGATCATGAAAGAGTTCAAGAGCCAGAGGTAAGGCCCAGGCCCTGCGGCCCAGGGCTGCTCCGGGGAGCTCCTCAGCCTTTGCGGGGGTCTCTCTGCCTTTGCAGGGGCCTTTCTGCCTTTGCAGGGTCCCCCCGCCTTCACATCATCTTTCCACCTCCACAGACACACAGGCCGCCCTGCTGGCCTGTCCCCCAGTAGTGTAGTCACTAAACATTGGAGGTGGAGGGTCTCTGTTCATCCCGTCATTTTCCAGAGATGAAATCCACAGGAAAGGGCAAATCTATATTTACTTCCCACTCTGAAATGCAGATCTAGAAAATAAGTGAAGAAGCTTGAGTGCAGAGCCTCTCTGTGACCTGTCAGCCCTAGAGGTGATGGCTGTCTTGCCCGTTTTGGGTAACGTGCCCACTCATATCTCTGCTCTGTGGATAACACTCCCAGTATGAGGCTGCAGTGGGTGGTGGTCATTCCCTCTGCTTGGGCTAATTTCTAGGTCTGAGGTTCCCAAACCTTCTTGTTAAAAAATTGCATTTCTTAGAAGCCAGATGCTTCACATACCTCTGTAATTTGCCAGGCTTAACTTGTATTTCTGATTCGGACACAAGTAACAAACTCTTCTCAATTTTAGCATTGACACACCTGGAGTAATCCGACGTGTTTCGCAGCTTTTCCATGAGCATCCCGACCTCATTGTAGGATTCAATGCTTTCCTCCCTCTGGGCTATAGGATAGAAATTCCAAAGAATGGGAAGTTAAGTATACAGTCACCTTTGAATAGTCAGGTAGGTTATAGAACTTATATTCTCTAAATAATTCTGTTACATGTGTCGCTATACACATCTCTTGCACAGTTTAGGCTATGTAGATTTAGTGTATTGCATGTTGCTGAAGTTTTTATGTGGTTTTGAAAGTCTATGATACTGGGTATAATATAAATTTAAACATTTATTTTCAAACCAGTTGTTAGTTTAGCTTACACAAGAATGATATTCCTGCACGAAGTGCCATTTCAACTCCAAATACTTCGGTCAGATTTGGAAACTGAAATTGTAATTGGCTTGACATATTTATACAGATCCTCAATACGTGGTGTGTGTAGTGACAAATTTCAAAAAGAGATCCTGGAAGAATCGCATTTCCAGTCTTCTGCTGAGAAACTGGGAAACGTGATTAGGCAATAGGCAGAAAATACATGTCAGGTATTGCCATGCAATTGCTGACATCCTGCAATAAAGGACATCTGCTGTAATACGGATGGATACGTATTGGCCTCTGCTTCTTTGTTGTTGTGTTGTTGTGGAGGCTGAAACAGAGCTATTACCTGAAGGCTACTGAGAAACTTATGGTTTAACCCTAATTAGTAGCAGTAAATATCTTTTAGACCTCAGTTCCCTTAGATCTCTCTGTTGCTTGGAAATTTAGCATCTTTAAGAGCCTTACATTTTAATATGTTTCTTAAAACTGGCAGTTCCTCTGAAGTAAAACCGTGGTAACAGAAACTGTGGTGCGTGTTGTCTGGTACACCCTCTCAAGTGTAGCAGACAATACAGTGGCAGTCAAAAGCGGTAATGAGTCAGGTGGTTCCTAAGCCAGATATGACTTACGTGGTTTTTTTAACTGATGGTGTTAATAAACGAGGTAGGGAAATTTATTGACTAATTAAATCTTTTTTCTTTCTTCTTCACGTGGTAATCTTTTTTAGCTAAACAGCTTGAAAATCCTGATGCTAGATTGTGGTTGAACTTGCACCTGTGTTTCTGTACAAGTCACTGTCTTCTGTGTCTTATGCCACTAGGTGCCCTCAGAGCCTGTTCCCAGCGCTCTCCCTGGCAGCGGGCTGTTGTTGCATTACTCCCAGGAGAATTCACACAATCACAGTGACTGCTCTGAGGAGTTTAGGCAACAGCTTCCATACAAAGAAGATAAATCCCAAATTCCTTTGGAGTCTGATTCTGTAGAGTTCAATAACGCTATCAGTTACGTGAATAAGATCAAAACACGTTTTCTTGACCATCCAGAAATTTACAGATCGTTTTTAGAAATTCTTCATACTTACCAGGTAAAAAGTCTTCCATATAAGAGATTGTGGGTTTGCACTGTAGCTGTTTGAGTAGTTGTTGTCAGATGAAATGTCTGCCTATTGAACAGGCTTATACAGTTCCCGAGCATTAGCCTTTGTCCAGCAGTTGCCTCATAGGTATTCACATGAAATGACAAAAGTGTGAAAATTGTAGAACTTCCCAGGCTCTGAGGTGTAAAGGGGTTGTACCTAGAGCTGTCTTTACTAACCTTCAGTTGATTTAGTGATACTCTCTGTGAAAGGATGCACTGTAAGAACCTTGGGCTATCTGATAGTTATTTCAAGTTTGTGTAGCATAAGGTTTTTGGCTGAGTTGATGAGTTTTCTTGCATAGTGAGGTATGTTTCTGACTCTATTTAACATCTGTGCATATCTTTTCAGAAAGAACAGCTGAACACTAAAGGCCGACCCTTTCGAGGCATGTCAGAGGAAGAAGTGTTTACCGAAGTAGCAAATCTGTTCAGGGGACAGGAGGATCTGCTTTCTGAGTTTGGACAGTTCCTCCCAGAGGCTAAAAGGTCTTTGGTATGTGTAGGCTTAGAACAAGGCAGAATATTGAATACTCTCTGTTCGTATGTAGAATACATAAAGAAGCTTTAGGAACGCAAAACATTATGGGAAAACATACAGCCAGTAGATGGACTTTGCTCCTCTTCATTGTTGGGAATTTCGCAGAACAGATGACTTAACTACATGTTCTCTGTTCTGTTCAGATTTATAGGGTTCTTTATTTGCGCCGACCGAGAAGAGAACGTTGAAATCATTATTTATTTACTTCAGTTCACAGGAAATGGACCATGTGAAGTGAACAGTGTCCAAAAAACCGAGCATGAGAAGAATCTGGAACACAGCAAAAAGCGATCCAGACCACTGCTGTTGCGTCCTGTTTCTGGGCCAGCAAAGGTATCTTTTAGCAAGTAGAAACTTAGAATAACCTGATATTATTCGTTGTATTTAGATAATTGCTTAGATGAAGCTGTAATGAGTAGCGTCTTCGAGGTATGTAGGTGTTAGGTACGAGAAACAAAATTTCAAAGTTATTTTTAAAATGATTACTGTCGAAAAAGGGATTTTTTAAAGTATGCTTAAATGTGTGTGGTAACGTGTTGAATACTAAATATCAAGATCTTCTGTACTAAGTATTGGCCCTGGAAAGGGACAATTTATTGCTTCTACAAAGAAATGGTTCTTTGGAATTCTTTCTCAAGTGATCCTTTTTTGTTGTTGTTTCTTCTTCTTAGCTGGGAGTCATTTGATAGAGATTGCTGTGGAGGACTTGACACAGCAGTGCTAGATCACTATTTGGGAAATCCTGAGTTTCAGACTTTGCAGAGAGCTGTTAGATGTCAGCGAAGAGGGATTCAGTAGCATTTGAGTCGGGTAACTGTTTGTTCTTTTAACAGAAGAAAATGAAACT